AACTACCTGGAATCCTTCCCAAGCAAGTTGGAAACTGTATAAACAGCTTGAATGAGGGTGATTGCCTGGAAGCGACAGCTATAATTTAAGTGTATGCTGAAAACTTTCATTGTAATTCTGTTTCACATGCAGCCATAAAAATAGCCCTCTGTAGTCAAAATTCTTCACATTTGATACCAGACAGGATGCAAATATTTTAAATGAGTGTATGTCTAGGTTCAAACAACATGCTAGGTTAGAGATCAAAACAGGGTTATTAAATATGTGATAATATGTGTTATGGGAACCTAGCCACCAAAGAATAGCCACCACATTAAGCAGTGTTTATATGCTTGGACATAATGGAAACAGCCACTGTATTTTATTAAACAAAACTGATGTTTAGCAAGGGATGAAATCTTCTTTAGGAACCTATTTGGAATTCTGAGAACAAATGATAAGGACAAAGTGGCTATCCATAAACATCCATTCAGTGAAAAATAAACCACTCCTAGGATTCTCTTCTCCATCCAATGCAACCACTGTAGGGTTCAAACACATTCTGATACATTAACTGGATGTTATAGAAAGATGTTTTGCTTTTCAACACATTGATTTCCTGTTTGTATTTCAATTTAAAAATTCTTTTAAATAAAGTCAGATGAGGTAGGGCCTGGGGGGCATCAGTCTTTAATCTGTCCAAAATGTCTGTATAGTTAATATGTTTGATAGGTGTTAGCCCTACCAGGTAGACCAGAAGGAAAGATCACCAAATAAACTAATTATTCTTTACTGTAAAGCTATATTAACAGAACCTTGCAAAGTAGAATTCTCCCGTTTCTTTTATAGCCCAAGCTAATTTAGCATTTTTATTAACCTATCATGTCCTTCCCAAGGATCTGGAATTATTATTTAATTTATATGTCACCTGACTCTGGTTCTGGACAGTTTACAATTGGTAAATATATTTAAAAACAAAAAACACAAAAACAGCACAAGAGAAAAGAACATCAGTGGCAAAAAACAAACAAATCCAAAGAGGAACAAAAAGGAAGAAGGGGAACCAGAAACCCTTTCCAAAGGCCTGAGCAAAAAGCCAGTAGGGTGTTATAAATAAATAATAAATCAATAAATACACCCTTACGTGAGTGATGAATGCGGCCGCGCGGGGGATTTTGGGGGCCTCTAGATACTCCCATGTAACACCTCTCCTGCGTGAGCTGCACTGGCTGCCTGTGGCCTTCCGGGTGCGCTTCAAGGTGTTAGTAACAACCTTTAAAGCGCTCCATGGCAATGGACCTATGTATTTGCAAGACCGCCTCCTACCACATACCTCCCTTCGACCAGTCCGCTCCCACAGAGAGGGCCTCCTTAGGGTGCCGTCGGCCAGTCAATGCCGGCTGGCGACCCCAGGGGGAGAGCCTTCTCTGTGGCACCTCCTGCCCTCTGGAATGACCTACCCCCCGACCTACGTACAACTGCGGACCTGCGCCTTTTTCGCCGAGCCCTGAAAACTCATCTATTTCGTGCAGCCGGCCTGGCGTAATCTTAATTAGGTTTTAGTATAGGTTTTTATATGGGGTATTTTAGAGCAGGCCTTTATTTATTTAATTTGATTTTAGAATAGATATTTATTGTGATTTTTATTATCGCCTGTTCACCGCCCTGAGTCCCGTAAGGGAGATAGGGCGGTATACAAATCTAAATAAACATAAACATAAACATGTCTTTATTAAGATGAATCAAATAACACAAAAATTATTAATTTTGAGTTTTTCTTACTCAGAAACGAGATTATATTAAATCTTCTTGATGTGAACCTGCTCTATAAACAAATCCATGTCCATGTGTATCCTTGAGATCCTTACACTGGTTTGGATTCACACTTACATTAGTTATAAGCTGGCTGTTGAACATAGGACTTTTCAAGATTGAGGCCTTTTCATTTTCTGTCAGAATGGGAACTACAAAGGAACAGCTTGCCACAAAGGCAAAATAAAGGAAATTGCACTGAAATTCTCTGTGTGGTAAGCAAACAACTGTGATGGCTACTAGTACTGGCCTGAGGTTGAAGTGGTACTACAGCATATTGTTGCGGCCTCAAGGTACATCTAATGGAAGTCTCCTGTGTGAAGTCTGTTTGTTCAGGCGTTCTGCCAGGACCAGCATCTAAACATATGGGCCTTGTCTACCCTTGGAATTTGCCCAGCTTTTCAGCCATTGTTGCTGACAAACAGGGAAACCACATTTGGAATGCCAGCAGAATTTCCCAGCAGGCCTGAAAAATAATAGCTTGGTGTCATGGTTGCCCCACTTTGGAGTCCTTACTATATCCTTGCTGATCTGCTGCAGATTATTCTTCAAGATCAGGAGGGAGGAGAGCAGAAAGACCCTGTTGTGAACTGAGAATTCCTTCCAATCATAACAAGGCAAAATATCTTATTCCTCACATGGTAAAATGCAGTATTATCAATAATGGTTTTGTCAAAGTGTAAGGTCTTTATAGACTACTAATGGACAAAAGTACACAAATCCAGTTTATCCAAAGAGCTGTCTATCGGTCTTTCTAAATGTCACTAGTGATAAACAACTAACAAGAAATAAGGGAAATATGAAAAAAGGATAATAATAGAAAAAAATAAAAAAAATCATACGTAAAAACTGGAGCCTTGTCTGCCCAAAGGAGCAATTTAAGCCCTTAGTTTAAATCCTAGATTCAATGCTAATTATGGCTGGGAAATACTTTTACCTGAAAAACTGAAGCTGCTCCAGCAAGTCAAGTTCAGAATGGCAAAAAAATCACTGTGTGATTTGCAGTTTCTGGCTCGAAAAGGTTAACAACAATTCATATTATTTATAAAAACAAAACAAAAAATGGTATACCTCACTCAAAATAAAGTTGTTGAAATAAAGAGAGCTTGGACTGGGACTGACAAGGAATGAGTTTGTATTTGAAAAGACTGCAATTTATTCTTGAATCAGTATTTCAGAACAATTATGGTAAGGTGGACTTATGCCCAATGAAAACAATGGGTTTTTATTACTTGGAAAATGGTATCCTATCAAAATGCTAAGAGGGCATTCTAGAATGGCTAGAGTCCCATCTGTTTCTTGAAGACTTCTAAAAAGTTAACCAGATAAATTTTTCTTTAGAAAAACATTCATGAATGTAGATACTGTAATCCATGAAGTAAATAAAAGAGCCTTAAATATAAACCTACAAAAGTTAACTAACCTTCAACTTTTTTTACTATCTTGCTAAGTGGGATACAGCCTATTGCATACATACTTGGTGAAGAAAGAGGGAAGACCTTTCTTCTGCAATCACCATGGAAGTGCAGGGTACTAACAGGCCAATAAAAACAATCAATCAATCAGAATAGAGCTGGAAGGAACAACTGCTTTCTACTTAACAGGATGACAAACATGGAAAACAAATAAGATATGGATTTCCCTTTCTAAAAAATCACCATGAGTGCCAAGTGGTAGAGGAGAGACAGACAACTTCTCTCCTTTTCTACCAACCCAATCACATACCTGCATGGAATTCATGGTTCCTCTAGCTACCAGCCAGATTATTAAATATAATGCTGGCATTAACATACTTAGGTCTCAAAAAACAATTAAAAAGCTTATGGACCTGTCAGAAATTGGATGGCTATATCTGCAACTGACCGAAACCTGACATTTGACAGAAACTTGTCTAAAATTGGTACCTTTTTACCTAAAAAACAAATAGCACTGAACAGAAAAAGGGAAACCAAAATGTTCAAGGGGTTAAAACAAATCAATTTTAATCCATTTCAGAATATTTTAGTTTGGAAAAAAGAGGAGCAAAAGAAAATATGTGTATATGGGTGTTTGTCTATATTATATCTGTCTATTTATATACTGTGTAAGGTAAAGAATAGAAATGGGGAGCGCTATCTAATAAAAAGAAATTCAATGGTGAAAAAAGTAAGGTTCTACATTTAGGCAAGAAAAACAGATGCACAGGTACAGTATAGGCGGTACCTTGCTCAATAGTAGTAACTGTGAGAGGGATCTCAGAGTCCTAGTGGACAATCACTTAAATACGAGCCAGCAGTGTGCTGCAGCTGTCAAAAAGCCAACACAGTGCTAGGCTGCATTAACAGAGGGATAGAATCAAGATCACGTGAATTGTTAATACCACTTTATAACACCTTGGTAAGGCCACACGTGGAATACTGCATCCAGTTTTGGTTACCATGATGTAAAAAAGATGTTGAGATTCTAGAAAGAGTACAGAGAAGAGCAACAAATATGATTAGGGGACCGGAGGCTAAAACATATAAGGAAAGGCTGCTGGAATGGGGCATTGTCTTACCTGAACGCCTTTTCTCAGCATGATGATGGATAATCCACAGATTGAGTTTCCTGAAGTCCCTTCTACCCAATAGACTAAGTCTGAGAGTTAGCCACGCCTCCCGCTGGGCCATGCTGCCCCAGTTCCGACGAAGGCGAAGCAGCAGACTAAGTCCGATGCGTTGGTTCCCTGACCCCTGACACAGGACCTGACAGTGACTAAAGGGCGGGAGTGGATTATCCATCCTCATGCTGAGAAAAGGCCTTCAGGTAAGACAACGCCCCTTCTCCAGCATGAGGATGGATAATCCACGGATTGGGACATACCAAAGCCTGCTCTGTCCCTATGGGGGGGAAACAGTCAGGGCATGTGGTCCTCCAGACGACACCACTCTTTGTAACACCCTGCGGCCAAAGGAAGCGTCAGCAGAAGCAAATTTATCAAGTTTGTAATGTCGTATAAAAAGGGAGGGCGATGACCAGGTCACCGCTCGACAAATCTCCTCAATTGGTGCTTGAGTCGCCCAGGCCGCTGAAGTTGCAGCACTGCGGGTGGAATGAGCAGTGATACAGTTAGGGATGGATAAGGACTGGGATTGATATGCCTTGGCGATACAGGCCTTGATCCACCTTCCAATGGTGGACGAGACCTTCTGCCCCATGGAAGGTTGGAAAGAAAAGCGCTTCCGATTTACGGAAGACAGAAGTCCACTTTATGTAAAGGCGTAACGCTCTGCGCATATCCAAGGTGTGCCACTGGCGTTCCAGGTCGTGAGACGGCCGAGGACAAAAGCTCGGCAGAACGAGCTCCTGTGAACGATGGAATAAGGTGTTCACCTTAGGAATAAACGATGGATCCAGTCGAAGGGTCACACAATCCGTACGAAAGACGCATAGATCCTCCCTGACAGAGAGCGCTGCCAGCTCGGATATGCGTCTGGCTGAAGTCACTGCCACCAGAAAGGCTACTTTCATTGACAAAAGTCTCAAATCACAAGACTTAAGTGGCTCGAACGGTGATCTGGTAAGAGCTTATAATACACATGAAAGATCCCAAGAGGGATACCTATGGACTGTGGGTGGTTTTGTGCTGATCACCCCCTTAATGAAGGAACGAACCATTGGGTGATGAGCCAGAGAAGAATCGTCGCATGAGAGCACCGTGACTAGGGCTGCTACCTGCCTTTTGATAGTATTCGGAAAGAGGCCTTTGTCGATATCGTCCATCAAATATTCCAAAATTCTAGGCACAGTAATTGAGGACATATCAATTTGATTCCTGGAACACCAACTGAAGAAGTCCTTGCAGGTGGAGTCATAAATTCTATTGATAGACGGATGCCTTGAAGCCTGGATCATGTTGATAACTCTAGCTGGATAAGACTCTTGAGTCAGACGTTGCCGCTCAACTGCCAGGCGGTTAGCTGAAGCCATTGTGGGTCAGGGTGTTGAAGTGCTCCTTGACTGAGCGCTATGCGATCCAGACGCATCCTCCACGGTGCCGAGATGGAAAGGTTCACGAGGTCGGCAAACCACGGACGTCTCGGCCAATGTGGAGCAATGAGAATGACCTCTGCCCTTTCCCATAAAAATCTTACAAATAACTGCAGGCATTAGAGGAAGAGGGGGAAATGCGTACAGTAGGTCCCGGGGCCATGGACTGCGTAGAGCAGTGATGGCGAACCTTTTAGAGAGTGAGTGCCCAAACCGTAACCCAAAACCCACTTATTTATAGCAAAGTGCCAGGGCCGCATCAGCATTGTGGTGCCCTCGGGGGGCATGGGAGCGTGGCCCACTGGGTGGGCATGGCTGCGGTTGTCACGGCAGACTGGGTGGGCGTGGCTGCAGTGGGCATAGCCACCTCGATGTTGCTCATGGGGGGGACACCTGTAGGGCCGGGCACGTTTGGGGGAGATCCAGGGGGACTCTGGCGGGTGGGACGGTGGGCAGGAGGCCCAGCATAGATGGAGGGGAGGCACGCAATCCTAGCTGGGACTGGGGGGCCATGGCGCTGATGGGGATCCGGCTTTCCCTGCTTGAGGTGGCCTTTGGCTTGCTGGTTGTGGGCATGCTCTACCACCTCTACTCGAGCTTGCTAGCTGGCCGCTTTGCCTCCTTTGTGTTGGGTGGGACTGCTGCTCTGGGTGGCGGCAGCCTAATGGACCTGCGCAAGCTGCTGGCAGCGGTGACGTGCGTGCCCACAGAGAGGGCTCTGAGTGCCGCCTCTTGCATGCGTGCCATAGGTTCGCCACCACTGCCGTAGAGCGTCTACTCCTTCCGCCCCTGGAGATGGAAAACGGGAGAAGAATCTCGGGAGCTGCGAATTTGCCGATGACGCAAACAGAACCAGTGCTGGCTGCCCGGCCCTGAGCCAATTGCGAATGAAGGTGCGCGCGCTCCCAAGCCAAACAGACTGGCATCTGTCATAAGCGTGAGTCAGATGGGTTCCTTGAAGAATGACCCTCTGGCTACCATTGGTGAGGACCACCACCGGAGGGACTGTAGGGTCTGAGAAGGAACCTTTACCCTTTGGTTGGAGGAGCTGGTGCCCAATCTTTGAAAAGGGAGCAAGAACCACTGGTGCCCAAGGCACTATCGTGATGCACGAAATCATCTTTCCCAACAGTTGGGAAAGCAGGGCCAGTGTCACTACGCGCTCCCTGCATACCTTGAGGACCAGGGTTCAGATGGTGTCCCAACGTTCCTGGGAGAGGAAGACCTGGCAACGGTCTGTGTCTATGATGGCACCCAGGTATAGAAGTCGGGTCGAGGGAACTGTCTGGCTCTTTTGAAAGTTCACCGAGAACCCATGGTCCTGGAGGACCTTGATCGACAAAGTCAGGTCCGACTGGGCGGCTGGAAGGGAGGGCGACTGGATGAGAATGTCATCCAGATAGCATTGAATGCGTACCGGTACCAGTCTCAAGTGTGCGGCGAGCACTGCCAGGATTTTGGTAAACACCCTTGGAGCTGATGAAAGGCCGAACGGCAGGGCTTTGTACTGGTAAAGATGGCCCATATAACAGAACCTGAGAAACTGCCGGTGGTCGGGGAGGATGGGGATGGGGAGATACCCTTCTGTGAGGTCTATGGACGTCAGAAAGTCTCCCTTCCTTACGCTGCCCAAGATGGACTGGAACGTTTGCATCTTGAATTTCCTGTATGCAATATGAGAGTTCAGACCTTTGTGGTCGAGAATCGCCCTCCATCCTCCCGAGGCCTTGGGAACCACAAAGAGGATGGAATAGAATCCCCTCCCCTGTTGACCAACCGGCACCGGTTCTATGGCTCTTATCTCCAAGAGATGTCGAATGGCCTCTTGCATGAGGCCCTTTTTGACTGGGTTCTTTGATTGCGGGCAAGAAATGAAGCGCCCTGGTGGGTTGGACACAAATTCTAGGAACAGACCGTATCGGATGGTTTGGAGGACCCAGGAGTCTGTGGTGGTGACTTCCCACTGGTGGGCAGGCACTACCCAAGAGTCACTTGGACCTTTAGAGGGCACTACCTCACACTTATCCTATAAGCTAAATAGACTATCAGGTTCACAGCACATGCTACAAAGGGTAGACAGTCCTGCCATCGAGATTAAAAAATAAATTAAATGATTGCATAAGCCTGAGACTAGAAACACTTTAAAAATACCCCATTGAAATGAAAAAAAAATTCAGAAGTTGCATCTAGCTTTTCCCACACATTATTTCTATAATGCAAAACTTATCCACCAACTGTGATCCCCAGGAACCATTTTTTTTCACCCTCTGAACAGAGCACATGGATGGCTATTTAGGAGACAGACCAAGCTTTCTAGCCCTGATTGTGATCTTCTCAGAGACACATGTGCCCAAGAGAATGCTGCGTTAATCAATCTTTACCCTGATCCACCAAAGCTCTTCCAATTAATTTGTGTGAGGCCCTTGCACTTAGAATCATAGAATGGATAACAAATGAACATGAAAAACAAAGACCTCATTCCCTGGAGAACCAAGCAGAGAACATTGTTTCCCTCCTGGTATTTCTCCTCATAACAACCTGTGAAGTAGGCTAGATTGACACAGAGAAGGATTGACTCATGGCAACCTATGTATTCACAGATAAACCTGGACAAAAAGAAAATCTGAACTATATAACAGCATAAATTCTACCAATAAAATATACTAGTATTACACAGCATTGCAAAATTTATTTTGATTTTGCTAATCAAGGAAGTTAAAGATGTTATATGGGATCTAAATTCCTTACCATATATATCCTACATTCTATTTCACAAATTTCACAAATGTTTTTAGGGCCTGTACTTTGCTTTTGCACAATAACAGCATATTTGTAACTCAGATCTAGAATTCTTCACACATCGATAAACTCAACACCATACAGTATATTTTATTTGCTAATAAAATCCAACTTGGGAAATTACTCAAGTACAAAGTCTAAAAGAGCTGATGTCAGCTGGACAAATATTTCACTTATACTAATACATGTGAAATTGTTCTGCCAGCTCACTCCCTCTTCTTCCACTAATATTTCTATCAATGCAGCATTCAGGTGGCTGTTTGTCAACTTTGAGACTGCATCCTAAGTGTACAAACAGCTTTTCCAGCCAGCTGTGGGTGGCACTTTTGTTGACCTGGGGGATCAAATAGTTATTCACTGTCGATGCCACACAAAAACTAGCCTTCGCATTCAGAGCTAAGACCCTCAACATTTCTCTTTAGCAAAGAAATTAGAAAGTGAATACATATTTGTTTCCTAAGTGTAGGCAAAATATACTTTTGGAATCATTCTGGACAAGGACCTCCCAGTATTCTATGAGCCACATCATATTTTAAATCTGATCTTGCCTGGCACTAAGTTTGAACCATCTAGTCAAAAACATCCAGCAGTGGAGAAACTGCAATCTCAACCCAAACCAGATTTAGCCGTTATTATTATTTGCAAATTTTCTTCAATGTTTTACTGATTCTAGTTTGTCATGTAAGTGTAAAACGTTCTCAAAATATCTTAAAACAGAGTTGGCTCTTTTGTCAGGATTTTGCCAAATGTACACCTAGTTGAACTAGCCAGTAAGATGCTCTGAGACACACCTTCTGAGAACTTATTTGTAAGGCACCACAAATTTCTATATAGAAATTTATCTGCTTACATAAAAGAAATAAACCTATACACCTCAGTTCAGAAGTAATGCCAACACACCTCAATGTGTTCTAGTCTTTTCTTTATCTCCAAATCAGGTTTGTTGACTCCTGACCTGGATTAGTCCCTGCAGTTTTCTTGCCAAGATTTCAAAAATGGCTTGCCATTGTCTGCTTCCTAGGGCAGAGAAAGAATGATTGGCTTAAGGTCACCAGCTGGCTTCATGCATAGAAACCTCTCCTGGTTTCTAATCTGAAACTGGCTCTTCCATACATAAATGAAGCAGTAAAAGACAGATCACCTAATAACAATGGAGGTCACATTTTAGCAGATCTAACTAACCTAGGGCTCTGAAGTACAAGAACTTGTAACTTATTGACACAAAACCATATACAATTGAAAAGCGTAGTTTCCTGGATGAAAGTACAAGTGTTTGTACTGGTTTGCCCTAATCTTTGCCCTAATCTAGATAAAAAAAAACTTAAAAACTTCTTGTATTGCAATCTTTCATTACATGGGGTCTAATGCATTTGCTGAAAATGAGAGATTAACACCCTGTAGCATCCACATAATATTCTAAAAAATATGCCACTAAATAAGTGAGCCTCTCTCTCTCTCTCTCTCTCTCTCTCTCTCCCCTCCCCCCCCTCTCTTTTAGATAACCACCCATCTCACACAAATGACTCTGTGTGGCATACAAGATTAAAAGCAAACAAACTCCCATACATAACAATCTAGAACCCAAGAATAACCAATTAACTATTAAACCCCTATAGTAACACAGCTCCACTTCACTGTGAACCCAATGCCTGGCGGAACAGCCAGGTCTTCAATGCTTTGTGAGAGATTTAGAAGATTGGAGCTATCAAAATCTCAGAAACTAGAAATAATAAGAAAAAGCATTCTTCCTTCTGATTTTTTTAAAAAAATGATATTTCCATCTTGCCAAAGATAAAAGCAGAATTCTAAACATTATTTCAGAATGTATTGTATTTATAAAAGTGCGAGTAGGCATGTACATCTCAAATTCATTTTACATTTCAGCTTAGATGTTCAATCAATGTAATTAAACTATTACCAGATTACATTATCTTATTTAGCTCTAGATTTGAGACCAAAAAGCAACTATGTTTCTTTTCACATAGCAACTAGTACTTTATATATTAAAACACAGCTATAACACAGTGGCTCAACTAAGCTGTTTAAAAATAAATTAGCAAACTATAAAAATAAACAGTCAAATACATATGGAGTCAATTATGAATTAATTCTAATTTTTGTGCTGAAATACTGTCTTTGAC